TATTACCTACTTCTGAGCGGTGTTGATACATGTGCTCCAATTATCCGAGTTGTTTTTCTGTTTTTTTCTTCTTCTCGCATTCGGAATCACATTTACCAGGAACAACTGTTCGGAGGTAATCAAAAGCCGTCTTCTAGCGAATAGAATGGGGGACGGGAGGAGGAGGCGGGTTCGACTGTTTGTCAGGTGATCCCAGAATCTGAAAGTTTTGCGGTTTGTGCCGTTTTATTTCCTTGCGTGGGTGGTGAGATCTGTGTGGACTTTTCATTCATCCTAAATGCGATGGCGTCATAGGAACTGATAGTCTCACCGTGAAGTGTTGCTGCTAACTATCAATTGGGTTTAATTGGTATTGAGAATGTTTCACAAGGCGCTGTCAATTAAAGAACCAACCACGTGATCGTAAGAACATTTAACTATTATCTTCTTGGTTGGAAAGGTGGAAGGTTTAGTGCGAGAGTCACGCTAGTCGCATGGCCCCGTATTCGTACAGGCCTTTCAGCCAGCTGTGAGTTGGCTGTCTGAAAGCGAAACGTATCGTGGCAATGAACATAGGATAGGTGTAAGCCCTCTGATAGACTACCGTTACCCTTATGGTATATACCACCATTTCGATCTTGATCGTTTGGCCAATCGTGACAGTCCGTTTCAAGATGCACTGATGGATGCATCAGTGGCAACAATCCGGCGTACTGTTTGACAAGCTCTTTACGCCAAACTCAGGGTAACTAAAGCCCTATAATCCCAGCGAGAAAGAGTACGACCTACCACAACAGTTACTCCATAGTAAGCGGACCAAACCTTATATATGATCCCATTGTTATGGGCGAAAGGTATCCTAGTTTGATAGGTCCCAACGTTGCATCGACATCTAGCAAATACTGAGCAAGATAGCCTCGGAGCACCACGTAGCAACACACAGCTGCTACAGCGATCTTCACACGATTGTGTCGAGGCTTCAGGTAGGACCTTGGTATGAAATCTCATTATCTATGCAACTGGTATATCCTATCCAAGGAGCCGGTCCTGGTATGCATACATATAGACAAGCACTATTATGGACGTCATTCAGACCGCAGTAATACGCATCGAACCCACCTTCAATAAATTAGTGAAGTCGCAGTATCTAATTGGATATATCAAACACCCTGACTATATGATCAATTCGAAGCAGAGGATGTCACTGGCTGGTCTGTCGTGGATGATATTGTTGTGCCAAGTGGCACCTACCACACTGCCAACCGAATACCGGCTGCACGAAGTTCATCGGATCATAAATGAATATGTTGGAAACCGATATATCTTCGATCCGTTCGGGGCGGTCAGTTCAACAACCGCTAGCTTGTTCGAATATCCAGACCTATGATTACTCCTGCATGGCTGCAGTAAACGTAAAGCGAGTTCACTCTGAGCAACGGAATTCGTATTTACCACGCCGCTATACGCCTCGCACACATTTACAAATGCTATATCTAGCCTTGGCAATTTAAAGCTACTAATCAGTGGCGTTTTACCATTGGTGCACGCGTCATATGCTCAAACTTAACTGGAGCGAAAGTATGGTGAGAAGGTACGGCTCGCCGACACCTTTATAATATCCGTCCCCTCTCAAGTTGACGGTTGCATCGGTTCGACCACATTCTACGGCGAGCCCAGAAAACCCAAACGAATACTGTCCCACTGGGGTACTTGCCCTGATAAAAACCTCGAAAAAGGAATTAGTGCTTCCGAGGTGGACACAGTGCGTTCACGTCTTCATTAGGTTCACGATATCCAGCAATGAAAAAAAAACTGGGTCACGATACGCACCGAACTCGCGTCAAACACACATTTAGTCAGCAATGATCCGTGGTATCCATGGAGTCAACGTATCATCTGGCTGGAGGTTTTCATGTAATAGGAGACGAGTATTGATTGACGTGTATATGCTACTAGCGTGAAAACAGCCCCAAACTCTCGTGTATATCT